AGGAAGGAAGGAAGGAAGGAAGGAAGGAAGGAAGGAAGGAAGGTAGGAAGGAAGGAAGGAAGGAAGGAAACAGAAAGCACATTGCTGAGTAGAACTGAGGCAGGACTTATGTGTCCAGCCCAGAAAGAAAGGCCAGATTTCAGGAGCAGTCTTTGCAGCCTCCGGGAAGCCAGGTGGCCCTTGGAAAGGCTCATGAGCTCTGGAGCTGTCCCATGACCTTGGTTTGACTTCTGGCACCCTATCCATTGGCTGTGTGACCCTCATTTGTAAATGTTGGAGGTTGTCATGGAGAATAAATAAAATAAAAACACAGGAAAGTGTGTATCACAGCACCTGGCATATAATAATTACTCATGAATGTTACTTCCTCGGTGCTGTGCCAGGCAGGTGAGAGTGCCCATGGGTGAGTGTCACAGTTGGATCTGAGCTGGGACATAGAGGCTTCTGTGGAAGGAGACAGTAGGAAGCTTGGGTCCCGGGCACAGCAGTGATACTGGTGCAGACAAGGTCACCCCCAGCCTGGGACTCAGTTTACTTCTCTGAAAACTAAGAGGTTGGGACAGGTGGTTACCATGGAGATCTCCAGCTCAAATATTATTGGTTTGAGGATTTAGAGGGTACAAAAAGTTTGCCATTCCCCCAAGATTTTCTCATCCTCACCTGTCTGACCTGTTCAAGGGGCTTCCTCAGCTGGGACCTGCTGACTCTGCCTCATGCCGTGGGCAGCCACAGCTGCAAGGAACCGTGGCAGGAATCCTCAGAGGCTGGAAGACTTCTCTGCCCATTGTGACAGGTGAGCTCCATTCCATGGCAACAATGGGCACCACCTGGCTCCCCTCCTGGTCGAGGATGAGAACAGATCAGGAACACGGAGGAGGAGCCGCTTCCCAGACGTGCAGGGCTTATGAGGCCACAGGGGCGTGAGGAAGCCAACCTCAGCCACCTTCGGCTTCCTGCACAGAATGGCCAAAGGGAGACGCTTCAACCCACCTTTCCACGAGGATGGAAGATGGGTAAGAAAGAAGGTGCCACTGATACCTTTCTCATGCCAGCCGGGTGTGGTCAGGGCCACAGAATGAGTTCAGACCCCGCTTCTGCTACGTCCTCTAGTGTGACCTCTGACGGATCACTTCATTTGGCCTCAGTTCCTTCCTCTGTGAAATGGGAATCTCCTCGCAGTCTTGGGAGGACTGAAGGAGATAACGCATGTAAAATGCTCAGCACACTGGAGCCTTGTACATGTCCGCTAAGCAGTAATTGTCTTCTCTGCTTCTTCCTTCTTCCACAGCATCTATCTCTAACCTATTATAGGACTTACTACATTATGTGCAGCGTCTGTGTCCCCTTGCTAGAGCACGAGCTCCAGGAGGGCTGGATCTTTATCTTTTTAACTCACAGACATAACCTCAGTGTCTAGAATAGGATTTGGTGCATAAAAGGCACTCAATAGACATTGGTTGAAGGAGTTGATGTCATGCTAGATAACTCTAATAAACAAATTCCTGTAGGCTCGTGATCTGATTCCCTTGGCACTGCCAGCCTATGAAATGGGAAGAGTCCAGGAACACACCATTTACCCATCTCCACTAGTGGAAACTTCCCCTTTCCAGCTCACACTCTTCCCCAGACCCCTCTCTTTTGATAACATTTACAAAGCCCAGTGGGATTTATCACTATTCTACCATCTCCGAGAACAATTTGGGTCACTCCTAGGTGTGAGGTCTTAGCCTTGTCGGCCCAACACTTCTCTCGTTTGCTCTTTAATATGTATATTTCATGTGCTCACAGGCCTTTCCTGTTCCTAATTCCTGCAAGTCATTCATAAAAGGAATGTTAAGAAGGAACCTCAGCAACAGACTGCTGTGCGCATCCACTCTCACACTCACAGTGAGAGACAGAATCAGAGAAGAACCTGGTGTTAACTCCTTTTAGGGCAGCAATATGCAGAAAACTGTTAAACATTTTTGTTTAAAAGAAAAAAATGGAAAAGACCTTGGCAAATTCAGGTCTGAAGTGTTTAAAAAAACCGTATCCACTTGGACATAGCCTTGGCTAAGAAGCTTAGACATTCTAAATCTCAGTTTATCTGTAAAATGGGAGTGTAGTGTATGAAGGATAGAGGGCTACTGTGGGGATTAATAAGATTATTCATTCAAAAGTGCTCCGTAATGCATGAGCACACAGCAATCACTCAGTATGATATGAATTTATCTTATTAATATACACACACACAAAATTACACCCTGTTTCATTCCACAAAGATTTTAAGTAATGTATGGAAAATATACACAATAAAATAGTAAAGTATAAACAAAATAAAAATCCATGACCACTTTAAATATATTTTAGAATAAGAGGCTAAGACTGGGAAAATATATAACATAGATATAAGGGCCATAGTGGCCTACATGGGAGATATATGAGCATCGACTTTGTCTCTGAGTTCCCTGGCAGCCAAAGTAAAATGGGGTATAGTATCAGCTACATAATGCTAATTGCCCATCAAGAGAAAAACATAAGTTTCTCAGACTAAGTAGCTTCCCCTCTTTCAATCACCTACATATCAGTTAGAATTGTGTTTGAATATTATAAAAAGCTGACTTCAGTATCCTAACCAAAAGGGGTTAAGTGACCCTATTTCTCAAGTAACAATAAAATTCAGAAGTCGGCAATGCAAGGCTGGCACAGCTGCTCAAAGAAGCCATCAGAGGCCCGGGTTCTGTTCAGCCTTCTGTTGTACCACCTTCGGTGCAGAGCTATTTTACCTCTAGGTAACCCAGGCATTAAAATAAGGGGAAGGTCAAAGGACAGAAAGACAGAAAGAACCTGTCAGCTAAGTTGGCCCATTTTTATTGGGAAAACAATAGCTTTCCCAGGAGCCCTGCCCTGCAGATTCCTGTTTCTAGCTCACTGGGTCACATGGCCAATTTAGCTGCAAAGGAGTCTGGAGATGCATTTTTTAACCAACCACATTGCCCCACTAAAGAGGTTCTGTATAAGTGAGAAAGTGAGAATCAACACTTATAGGCAGAAATTTCATTTCATCCTTCCATCAAGAGCCCAGGAATGTAGCCCGGTGCCCAGATTTTAGGTGGAGAGGCACTGTCCCCCAAAGTTTGACTTGAGCCTTTGTGATGACTCCTTTCTGCTGTCAGCACCTAAGAGCATTAAAACGAATAGTGCTGATCATGAAGTTTCGCAGAGTAACTTGTAGATGAGTTGGGAAAATTAAAGAAATTGTTGGCTTTGAGTCAGCAGCAGCCCATTTGGGAGGACAGTAATTGCCACATTAGAGGTGACAGTCATTTTGCAATTGACCTTGCTGGTCGTTATCTGGCTGTTGCCGAGTAGAAAAGGCTTTTTCTACACACATTCACCTTCCTATTTAATATTTCAGTCATTGAGTGATTGAATGCAGCAAAAATTTCACTGCCAACTAGTTAAAAAGCTATATTTCACGGTTACAATATCTAACAGAAGGGTTTATTTCACAGCTATCATGTTATAGCCATTAAATATATATTTTAAAAGAGTGAAATTAAAATGCTAGAGCCATTTTTTAACAGCGATTTAGTCTGTAGACTTGCAGAATACAAATGAACTCAAGTCAGTTGTCATTTAACTGGTGCGAGGGATCATTCCTGATGTTGGAACCACCTCCCCACCCCCTACCTGATTTTCCACAGCTTCCCAGAGAGACGCCTTGACTCAGTTCAGCTGGAGGAAGGGTAAGCGGGGAAGGTTATGAGCCAGAAGGCCTTTAGTATTATTGATGTTTATCTCTAACATACAATTGTTAGAAAACAATTTTAAAAATAGAATTTAAAAAATTGAATACAGAATTTCTATTTTAAAAGTAGAATATAGAGCATGCAAGCCGGGAAGGTTATGAGCCTTTAGTATTATTGATGTTTATCTCTAACATACAATTGTTAGAAAACAATTTTTAAAATAGAATTTAAGGGCCGGCCCGGTGGCGCACTGCTACAGTGCGCCGCTTGGGAGCGCGGCTGCGCTCCTACCTGATTTTCCACAGCTTCCCAGAGAGACGCCTTGACTCAGTTCAGCTGGAGGAAGGGTAAGCGGGGAAGGTTATGAGCCAGAAGGCCTTTAGTATTATTGATGTTTATCTCTAACATACAATTGTTAGAAAACAATTTTAAAAATAGAATTTAAAAAATTGAATACAGAATTTCTATTTTAAAAGTAGAATATAGAGCATGTTAGAAATACATAGGCTGATTTTGAAAAATTTCTAGGGTATATTGTTAAGTGGGAAAAGCAGAATGTATAATGTGATAGGATGTTCATAAAGCAATGTAAGTCCCCTCCACATGTATAGGTGTCTGTGTATGACCACGTGAGAGCTCGGTTGTTAATATTGCCATCTGGGGTAGCAGTGGGGGTGACAAGAAGGAGAGGAAGAAAGCAACCAAAAGTTACTGTTAAATAAAAGGGTATTCCTAATTTTTAGAAATTACATTTATAATGTGGTCCTGCATATGCAAAATTACACATAGATATGGATATACATTCACATAAGGATGTGGGAAAAGGAGGGTCGCCAAAGAGTTTAGGAGAAAGGGAGATAGGATTTCAGGGGAATTTTACTTACTTCCTTATGTTTTTCTTTATTGTTTGAATTTTTTTTTTTTTTTTTAAAGCAGGAGTATGTGTTCCAACTCTAATCAGAAACAAATATATTTATTTTTGTTGTGGAAAAGAGACAATGGAATATGCACACTTACTTAGGAAACATTTAAATGGGGCAAAATGAGAGTCAGTGGGAAGAAAGTCTCTCCTGCCCCCGCTGCCCTGCACAGAGGGGACCTGCCACCAGCCTCCTGCGCCCTTCAGGGAGGCCAGGTGGGCGCGTGGGCCTTTCGCTGCCCTTGGTGGCCATGCCCACTCCCCTCACCCCTCACACAGCTATTCAAACGAGTTTAGTGGGAGTTCTTTTATTTAGATGTGTTCTTGTCAATTACGTATGGTTTCGTGTGCATGGATTATTTATTTACATAAGCGGTGTTGGGCTACGGATCTCATTCTGCTGCTTTCTTCTTCCTACTCACAACTGCATTGAAAACATCTGCCCCTGGCTATGTCTCATCCAGCCCATTGCATCTCACTTGCAGAGAACGCCCCACCAAGTACTTAACACACAGAACACGATCTCCCCACCTTTTTACATAAACAGCGACCTAGTAAACACACTCATGCTCAGACATTGATCAAAAGCCACCTGAACATACGTTCTATTGAGACTTGAGAAGGAAAGGAGAGATAGTAGCCGTGTGGCCAATGTCACTAGACTCCAAAACAGAAGAAAGGGGGGCTGACCTTAGGTGGTGGAAGTAGGTTTGGGGACAAGGGAGCGGACAGCCATGAGCAAAAACAGAAGCTGCTAGCAGTTACTGAGCGCCGTGTGAGTGCGTGCCTTTGCACTTCTAATCAAGTCTACCCTATCAGGTAGATATTATTTCCACTCTGCAGAGAAGGAAATTGAGGCTTGGTTAAGTTAGGAGAGAGCGCTGGGATGCACTCATGACCTCTGAACCTACAGCCCATGTCCCAACCACCGGGTTACGCTTCCTCCTCCCCTTGTGGAACTGTCACCAAGACGCGGGTCTTGTCTTTGGTTTACTTTAGTTGCCACTCAGCTTCTTCTCCTAGAGATCCCTATTTCACAGCTCACTTCACTGGGGTGCTTTTCAGAGGTGCCATTCAACTAGAATTGAGCTGAACAACTGTGGCCACAAAGTGCCAACCACATCCTCCTTCAGGCATGAAGGACTCAGTGCTGTGGCCCTTACCGTCCACCCCTAGGGAACCCTTGGCTGAAGAGAGATGCCCAAGGTCACCCCTTTTGGGGGAGCAGACCAGGAATCGGTACGAAGACTGGTCGATTAGGGTGCATAAAGCCCAGGTCCCCTTGCCCAGCTCTGAAGAGCCATCCCATGTCCAGAGGTCCCTGCAGGGTCGGCTGAGGCCCTTGTCGGGACCACCCCCCTGCCCAGTCTGTTTCTACCTCTCCCTTTTGTAGGGAGATCCCAAGGGCACCCCCGCATAGTCTTTGTTGCCCTCGCTTTTTTTCTTTATACCTTTCTACCCCTCTTTTTTCTTTCTAGACCTTTCCTACCCTCTACCATCCTCCAATCCAGTGGACAGGCAACTGCGGTCCTCACGTCATCTTCCCCTTGTCTCCCATCTTGTACCTACATTGTTGGAGGCTGACTCACCCCTATGAACACAGGTTGGCTTTTTGGCCCCACCTACCCGGATCTCCCTGACCAGGAGGAGGATCTCAAATAACACATTTCTGTCTTCTCAGAGAACATCCGCTCGCTCTGAGGCCGCACCCTCCTCACCAGGCTGCGCAAACATCTCCAGGCTCCAGCGCAGCGGGGGTGGCCCCTGTAATGTGAAACACTGGCAGTGATGGCGCTGGGCCATTACAGTGATCTTTGTCTCGGAAAGAATACTTGAAAATTACAAAAATTAGGCCATTTCCACAGCATGCCAGAAGCACCCAAATTACATTTTAATCACTATACAGAGGAAGCCCTGATACTTGGCTTATAGATTCAGATGTGTCTGGTTTTAATCAAGGCGTGTGCTGTTTTTCCAGTTCCCCCACATTGGACTAAAGCAAAAGACTCCGGAATCCATCACCAGTGCTATGTTAAAAGAGCCCCGTAGTCCACGCTTTTATCACGAAGTGCAGGAGAAGCTACCGCCAATATACAAAGTCCGGGAGAAGGTGAGTCTGGAGCACTGGCCACCTGCTTCTGCGGCTGTCTCAGGGGTACCACCACTGGCACTTTGGGCCAGACAATTCCTCTTTGTAGGGCACTGCTCATTTACCATCCCTGGACCCCTCAAGGCTGGTCGTATCCCCCTGGCATACCCTGGTCACTATGGCAACCCATATACTTTCCCGAAGGAGCGACCTCCCTGTCTAGACAATCAAGTAAGGCTCGTCTGTGGACGGGAACCTGTGGTTACAGCTCACAGTTCTTGAACATACACGTTCTGCCTCCCTGGGCCATTCATGAGCAGCTTCAGGGGCGCTGAAGCGGCGTGAGTGGGAAGCAGGAATTGACCTCACACCCACCAAACTCGCCCTGCGACTGGGGCCAGGGCTCTGGTCCTCTGGGATCCCTGTAGGTCAGAAGAAGAAGTTGGTCTCCACGGCCTCAAAAGTCCTTTCCAGCTTTTGGTTCTGTGAGCCTGTGCACTTTTCCACCCTTGCCTCCAAATAAGGTGTTTTGGAAGAGAATTTTTATGATTTTCAGAAAGTTGGCAGTAAGGTTGAGTTTCAAATCCCTGAGCCACTGTGCACATCCGTGTCCTGGCCGTCCTGTGCTGGTAGCTCCATCTCTGGTGATGGGTTTAATGGTCTTGCATAGTGTAGCTGTGCCTCAGCCATCTCCCTCCTCATCACTATGTGCCAGCTCTGAAAGTGTCCTGGAATCGTGACCAGCGCCCCTGCATCTCTCCCCTCGCTCTTTTCCAGCAAGCCGTGGACAGCAACTTCCCCTTCTCTGTGCATGACAATCGGCATAGTTTTGAGAACTCTGGATGCTACCTTGACTCTGTGAGTATTTTCTTCCCAAATTTCTAATAAAATGGCAAGTGACATCAGGGCTCTTCATTGTCTGCAGCATGTTGGAGATAGAGGACTGAACCCCAAACTGCAACAAGGTCATAGCAGGTTACCAAACAATGCACGGAGCTCCCAAGGTTGCACGTGGCTTTCAAAGTCTGCACCAGCCTTCTGCCCAGGTTTGTGTGCACTTCACGCTTCTCGACATGACTTCCCGTAAGTTGTGTCTTTCGTGAGCTTTCTTGTGAAGATCTGTCCTGAGAAGGAGCGATCACCTGTGTGTGTCTCTGGACAGCAGAGCCAAGACCCACAAGGAGGAGGTGAGAGGGAGGGGATGCTTACATAAAAGAAAGAACTTCCTAATGCCTGCAATTGTCTTTTTGCTAGAGCTAGTAAGTTCCCTGTCATGGAGAACACAAATTCTTTTTAATTTTTTAAATTTGTTTTTTGGCACCTGGCCAGTCTGGGGATACAGACTCTTGACCTTGGTGTTGTCAACACCGCGCTCTAACTAACTGACCTAACCGGCCAGCCAAAACACAAGTACTCGTACTATTCGTTAGTGGTTCTTAACACTGCACTGTCCCATAGAAATATACTGTAAGCCGTATATGTTATTTTAAATTTCTCTGGTGGTCACGGTAAATAAAAAGAAACAGGTGAAATTAAATTTAATAACATATTTTATTTAACCCAAGAATTCCCCAAGTTTTCAATTCAACACATACTCAATATAAATTATTAATGAAATTTTTTTACATTGTTTCCCCCCAAACTAAGCCTTTAGAAGACAGTGTGTATTTTACACGTATGGTGCATCTCAATTTGGACGGCTCACATTTCAAGTGCTCAGTAGCTACCTGTGGCTGTTGGCTACCAGACTGGACAGCACAGGGTTAACATATCTTAGGTAAATGGTTGTATCAGGTGATTTCTGAGAATCCTTACTGAACCTCAATGTCCACGACAACGACGATGGTGATGATGACGTTAATAATACCCATAATTTGTTAAGCATTTGCCATATACCAGCGTCTCATATTATCTCATTCAATCCTCACAGTGACCCTGAAGGCCAATTATTTTTATCATCCCCAATTTAGAGACAAGGAAATTGAGAACCAGTAAAGTTAAACAACTTGCCCAACATGACCTTTTACTCTGTGCAAGGATGTCTTAACTAAATCTAAGTGGCATAACATAAAAAATCTGGTTTGCCTCTGTGGAGTGTTGAAAACAGAACCAGAATATCCACTCTGCCTGCCTTTCTAAATGGAATGCTTAATATTAGTTTCTAAATTACCAAAGTAACATATGTCCTTTTAAAAACTCAAAAAACATAGAATTATATAAAATTAAAAATAAAATTTACACCCTATTTTCCTTCCTTACAACCTCACCTTGATGATTCCCTGCTAATAATAGTTTGGTGGGTAAAATTTGAGAATTTTTGCAACTCACATGCAAACATACCCTCTTAAATGTATATCTTGTAAACAATTTTTTTTTTTTTGTCTTTTTCGTGACCGGTAAGGGGATCGCAACCCTTGGCGTGGTGTCGCCCACACCGCACTCAGCCAGTGAGCGCACCGGCCAGTCCTATATAGGATCCGAACCCGCGGCGGGAGTGTCGCCGCACTCCCAGCGCCGCACTCTCCCGAGTGCGCCAGGGGCTCGGCCCTTGTAAACAATTTAAACAGGATTGTACCCATGTATATTACCAGGGTTCTGATGGTCTGGTAGAAAGCATTGGCAGCTTTCCAACTTTCTCTATGTTCTGGAATAGTTTACATAACATTTGGATTTCAAGTTTAATGAAGGTTAAATAGAATTTGCTGTAAAATTATTTGGCTTTAATATGTTTTTTAGAGTAAGTTTTTTATTACCTTTTCTATTTCTCCCTCTATTATTGATCTATTCAAACTTTCTACCTCTTCTTGGGTAGATTTTGCTGATAAGTGTTTGCCTAAAATAGTAATTCCTTTCAAATTTACTGATATAATATCTCTTAAAAATTCTTATTCTGCTGTTCTTTTTAAATTTTTACAGTTGAATGTTTTGTTTATATACCTGCAATTGTTTTTGTTGGTAAATTCATTAAAACTACAAATATTCTTCAGATTATTGCTTTGACTCAATCTCAAAGGTTTTTCTAATTAAGGTTTCATTATTATTTGCTTTCAAATAGTCTGTGATTTAATTTTTAATTTCCCCTTTAATTAAAAAATATTTAGATGAAAGTTTTAAATTTTCTATATGCTTAGAATTTTTTTAAGATCACCTGTTCG